TCAGAACAGCAACATACTTTCCTAGGATGTTTTCAAAGAACTTGTGTCAAAGACAGCTGAAATGGTGGATATATATCTCCGAAACAGGCAGAAAGAATCCAATTCAGACACCTAAGCACAGGTATTTGAAATCATCTGGCCTTCAGATGCCACTTGAGATGAGCCCAGGCATTCCAGAGGCAGTATGAAGCATCTGCTATATATGGAACTGAGTTACCATTCAGGGAATATTAATAACACTTATGTTTAAAAAGAATAAAGTATTCTACAAAATCTCATGTTATAAGATGCCTTTCACAACCTTCCAGAACAAATGAAGCTGTTGTCCTTGGAAGTGATAGCTTTGTTCTTTAAATGTGTTGAAAATAATACAGCATCAGTCATGAGAAAGTGAAGCTCAGTGATCCAACTGGAGCAGTGCAGCGCACATGGAATGCAGTCACAAAACACACCTTGATTTTAGAAAACTGCCCCAGAATAGCAATTAAATGCAAAAAAACCCACAATCACCAAAATCCACTTCTTGAAGATATCAGCTGCCTTTTTTTTTTTCTTGGGGGGTGAGGGGGTAAGAGGTAGGTGCATGAGTACTTCTTTTTGGCAGCAAACATGAAATGAAACAATGTGCATCACGGAATAACAGTTATTCTTAGCTATACAGAATACTGTATTCTTAGCTGTACTGTAACCCTGAGGAACAAGATCACAACAGAAAACCTATGTGGACAAACATCATCTGTTTAAACAGCTGTGGCTATGTAATGGAAACATGGCTTTCATCTCAGAAGTTCCTTATGTGTAGCTAAGAAGTAGAAGCAGATATTATCACAGTTTATCAACAATTTTCTGCCTGCTCTGCATTCTTTTGTCATCTGTACATGATTAACTAAGTAGCTTACTGGACAAATGGCTGTAAAGCAATCACTTCAAATGAATTCAGACCTTAGTGAATACTAATCCCATAGAAGCAAGTCTTCCTTATTTTTAAATATGTTTAAGAGACTATATATCTTTCAGGATATTTCAAACTTTAAAAAACTTTTAAAACTCAGTTTATCACATTTAAGCATTCTTTTCAATTTTCAACCATGTTTTAAATAATCAGTATGTCACTATCAAATCACATTGGTTTAATGAAGATTACTTTAACAAAGTTCTCATTTAAAGCAACACTGTGAGTGATAATGAAGTCCAGTTTTAGTAGTACAGCTCTCTAACACTCAGCAGTTCATCTCATACACATTAGTTTGGAGAACACAACATCAGAAAACCAAATGCTGTAGAACCAAATACTCAGGCCCAACTTCTTCCATCAGGTTTACATAGGCCTACTGTGGTTTTGTATGCACATCCTTTATTTCCAGTATGAATACAGGAATGCATAAAATCTACCCAGATGTCTATGCAGGTGGAATAATAAACCTGAAGAACAACTTTTTTTTTTTATATTTCTTATATATAAATCAGCAAGTCATTTTCATTGTCATATGATTTATACTTCTGCATTGAGAACAAGTATCAGAGAACATGTTAAAGATTTTTGTTTTACAATAATATTCATCTGTGTTACTCTAATGCTTTAGACTTCATTGAATTTTGGTTTGGACATGCACCTTGTCAATGCAATGCCTTATGTTTTGTGATTCACAATTGCACTGTACTTTTGTTCAACTGATTAACTGCTGACCCCAGCATTAACACTGTCTAACATATTAGATTTGTATTCTTAAAATACTGCATTTTCAGCACTTTCAAAAGCTGAATAACTAAGTTCTTTTGTAAATAGCGCATAAAAGCCTATTTATTGCTCAGCATTTATTTAGTGTACTTTTATAGTACTTTATAGTTCTTTTGTTTCAAACAGTTGTCATACAGTTTTTAAAAAACAGATTTTTATTCTGATTATTTTGCATTATGAACTGATTAAAGGATTCATTTCAATTATTAAGAGAATTTCCATCAAGAGCATCAGTTAAATGAAGCGTCTCCAGAAGAAACACCATAAACTTAGCAGATACAAACATCTCTTGTGCTGTTTTTAGCCTTCATATGTTTCAGGTTGCAAGGATCTCAGTACTGCACAGATTTTTTTTTATCCCAGTATAACTCCACTTGCACAGAATGTATAGTTTTCATGTAAAGATCTTTATGAATTTAATCTTTCAATATCATACGTACTTAATTCAATTATCTACAGTACTAATTCCCCTCCTTGGGGCAACAACATCACATACTCTTAAATGTAATAGATTTATATGTTAAGTACACAAAGAAAGCATACATATTGTGTATGTCTAATTGTACTGAATTGTATATTCAGCATAATTGTACTGAAGAGTAACTCAGATACTTAAACACATCTTCCCTGAAGTGTCAGCATACAATTACATGAAAAGCTCATTCACTAAGACATTCTCCAGAATTTATCTTTTAAAATCATATGCTGTTTTCCAATCATTGCAGTGTAAAAAGTACATGGCTAAAAATATATATGTAGAATATTGCATTGCATCTCAATGGCAGAAAAATAATTACCATGATGCCCATATTCTGGCTAGCACCAGCATCCAGCAATGGATAATAACACCACATACAGAATGAAACAATTGATTTCTCATATGGTTACTACACATAGCCAAATGTATTTAGTTTATGACTTGCAGGAAAAAGTTGATCAGTTACACTAAATTAACAGTCTATAACCAGAGTCAACAGCCATAAACACTGTATGTATGGAAGTCCAAAGGACTGACAAATCAGGGTAAACAACAGATTAATAGCAAGTGAGCTTTGTACACAGAAACCCTTAAGTATTTACAGGATACAATTAATTTGGTGCATTCACAACAAATAATCTATTTTAATTACCACAGGGTTATCTGATTATTTCATTAACACAAATGTAATTTTTTATATAAATACATGATTATTTTAATCTTTAAAACTATTATAATCTTCCCAGATAATCTTTGGAAGATGCCTCTAATTAGATGAAAACATTCCCATTTTAAATTATTACCTTGTAATTTAGTGATAACTCAATTTAGTAAAACAAAAGTTCATTTAAATTCAAGAAAATCATCTGGGACAAAAAGGCTGAGGAAATAACTTCATTATCAGGACAGATTAAGTTACTTTCATTTAGATTAATCTGCTCAGAGGCTCAGATCTGTTGAAAAAGATGCATCAGCCCAGACAATATGCTAATGACTGAATGCATTCATAGAAAAACACAGTGAAATTGCTCTTGAATTATTGACATTTCTCACACTAAGGAAGAAGTTGTACTTCTCCACTAATATGCTGCAAGAGTTTGCTGGTAAATGCAAAAAGATAAAAGATAACAACCAGAAAAAAAGTGCTGTAGCACCCTGTATATGTATACTTTCTGCTGACTGACTGACCACACTGATGAGCTTGATCACCTTTTTGCAAACTCATGTACTTAGCAGTAATTCTTTGTTGAACCTACAGGCATCAGCACTACAGCTTTTACCATACATGAAGAGGTCTTAAGTATGTACACCTTATACCTTCAGAGAATACATCCCTTAATAATGTAATAGCTTTCATTGTCTTTTCTCTCTGACAGCAAACACTGCAAGTGTCTGAATTTTTAACGCCACTGAAATGATCTGAATGCTTAGCCACATAGAACTTCTCACCAGAGTATCATAAAATCAGCTGTCTGTCAACTTTGCTGTCCCACTAAGCACTCTCAGAAATATGTATTTTTCCTTTAGTTCTCAGCTTTAATACCGTCTGTACTTTAAAATTAAGCATCATGCAGGCAGCACACTGCTTGTGAATCACAATCCAGAAAATCATAAAAATAATGCAAACAGCAGTAACAGACTGTTTAATTCCTCCTCTTGTAAGAGAATTCAGTTCACAGTTTTGTGAGAAACTTTACCTGTTCCGTGCTTCAGTGTGCATCTCATTACTTAGACTTGTTCAGCCTCTGACAAAATGCTGGAGTAAGCAAGGTCTGCCCCTGCTCATTCCTATTGTTTCTTCATGCTGCCACAAAACATTTGAGCATCTGCTGTGTTAAATGAACCACAGAGCGGGGCTGAAAATTAACCTGGCAAAACATGCTTCATTTACATGCAGAATGGTTCCCCGGGCTGGTTTATTGACTAGCAATACAAACTGTTGTGATGATATGGATAAGGGGGCAAAACAGGGAACAGTGGTAATCAGCTGGCAGGGAGGATAAAAAGATCGCTCCATTCATCTCTGAACCTACTTAATTCACTAAACAGGCAAAAAAACTAATCAAGTGAGAAATAGTGCTGCTTGCTTTTTGATTCAGAAAAAGGCTCAGAGCCCATTCCAACAAACAACAGTTCCAGAAGTGATGAAGATCAGGAAATGGGATGAACCACCTGGTGACAACTAAAAGGAAATGCAAGAGTAGGAGGGGTTGGAAACAGGGATGGTAGTGAGATCGACTTCCAGTTCTAGCGAGATGTTCCTTAATTTGAAAGAAAATTACCTTTAAAAAAGCTAATGACTGACTACATTGTCTTTAAAATAGCGTCCTTCAAAAGAATCACCAAAAAGTAAGGTTAACAAATCTGTGCTTCTGAAGCTATCTGTACATAAGCATGTATATAGAGTCTCTTGTACAGATTTTGCAGTGTTTACTGCTTTTGTACCAGTAACAAATTACTGTTTTATAAGTATTTCCCAAATAAGTATTTCTTATGCACTTCTAATGCCTATATTTTTATTAGGCTAAAATCCCCTTTCCTGACAACCTGCAATTCAATGAGAGGAATACAGCAGGAAACTATTCTTCACACTTTTTCCTTGAATTGAATATGAAGATATTATACTCAGTCCTACGATGAAGATAAAAAGGTGGTTTTTTTTATAGCTTTATATAGGTTAATGAAACTTACAGACACATACTTGCTTAAAATAACTGTGTATCACTGAATGTCACTCAAATTAAAAATAAATACGATACTTGCTTGATATGACAAATTAACATACCTTAACTTGTTTTCTTGTTTGTTGGCACCACTTCCCAGGGATGACAGACCATCGTATGCATCTTTATGTGAATGTTTTGTTTCTTGAAGTAACATCCCCCTGTTGCAGCCTCCGTAATCTAAATCTTCATGCATATCTGAGGAGGAGAAATATAGAAATATTTCTGTCCATCTTAAGGAATGAAGGAGCTTCTAAAATAAGTGAATATTTATCCATGAACAATAAACTTAATAGTGGAGAATTAATCAAGTTGATAATTAAATAATATTATAATTAAACTCAATTTTCCAAAGAAAAGCAGAAATGCTTTCAAGATCTACAACAATGATCACCTCATAAAAACATTACCTAACTAAACTTAACCTAAGCTGGTTCCCCTTAATGACACACAAACTTAGGAAAGGATTATTTCAAAACTGAAAAGAGAATTATTGTTGATAAAGAAAGAAGTCAAAACCTTAATTTTCCAGCACAGCTCTTAACTGTTCTTATACCTCTTGTGTGACCATGCATAGCATTCCAAGATTAATTTTTTTTAATCATATTTTACTGTAACTCTATTTGCTATTGGCCTAGAACCATGCTTGTTTCTAGTTATCCCTATGGAGGAACCTATTAAGTCTCAACTGCAATGAGAGTCTTTTATTTCCTTATTTTCCTGTTATTTTATTCCATTAACCATCATATGAGCTCTAGTGAATAAAAAAAGTCCATCTGATCCCAAACCTGAAGAACTACACTTTTCTAATGCTTAGAAAAATTCCTGTGCCCTTCTCTTATCTTCTATTTTTGATACTTTGTTTGCGTATTAGGTACTGTATTTTGATCAATTTCCTCTCACAGTTTATTGCATTACCTGCCAAAGATGATAATACTTAAGTAATATTTTGCTCATAATAGAAGCAACACCATCATGAAACAAAGGTAAGTTGAAGAAAACACTCTGGAAAACAATGAGATACTGTGGCTTTCCAACTGCGTAAATTAATGCCAACTTTTAGGCTGGTTGCATACATATGAATTAAAGCAGAAACTGAGGCACTTCATATTTGGAATTTCATACTTTGAGGCAAGAGTTTACACAAACAGATTTTTCAGGATCACGCTTTAAGCAAACAAAAAAAAACACTATGAAAAAAATCTGTTTTGTTTGTTAATTCCTTGGTGATAACTCATGAGGTTACAGCCCAGTGGATGTTCAGCAGGCTACTTGTAGTCACACAAATAACTTCAACAACTATAGCTATTGCCAAATCCTCTTCATTTAAATAAAACTATCTCCATCCACTTCTGTTTGCTTTCTGCCAAGTTAAATCTTTTGGAAGATATACTCCACTTTATACTACACACACTGAGTGCTTCAGAGATTAAACCCTTAAGGGAAACTTGCAGGTTTAACTAATTTTCAGCAGGTCCTTGCTCATGCTTGTATTCCTACTCACAAGACAAAAATATTTCTTAAATATGAGCTCAACACAACTGTTGAGTTTCTAGGTAAATATATTCAGTGTTCAGCCTAAAGTAATATAATGAAACAGTAAAAACTGTTTAAATGTATTTAAACAATCACAAATTCATCTTTGATCTAATGTTTCTATAATGTGTTATCAAAAAAACAGTTGCTTCATATGCTTGGCACGTCACATTCATTGTATTTTCAGCTATACACAGATCCATGCTGTTTTACAAGATCATGCTTTTCTAAGACTTCATGGCCTGCTCTTGCATGTAAATAAAAAAATTCTGTCTATTTTTATACTTGCTAAGGAATACAGGTTCAGCTAGAGAAAAATAAGAGGCATCTCTATTACTGTGAATTTGAGATTCAAAATTCAAATTTGAGATTCCCATTTTACTTAGCAGTGTTTTTACAGAATATGCTGAAATGACCACTTATTACTACCAAGAGTAGCATTAACTTATATTTATGGAAAAAAGCACCCATTAATAAAAGATATTTAATACTAAAAGCAGTAATTCAATTCCACAGAATCAGAAGTTAAGAAAAGCATGGAGGGCTCTTATTTCTACTGAACATTATTTTTTCTTCCACAGATTAAGGATGTGACATTCTCAAAGGGGCATCTTTCAGGAAATACAAAAAGCAACAACGGTCTTTATCTTTCCAATGTAATTTGCTTAACAAAGAGACTGGACCAACTCCAAAAGTCAAAGACAGATTCTCAGCTGATGACAGCTGAACTGAAAGTCATTCGACAGAATCAGTGATCAAAATGTAATGATTCATTTAAACTCCTGATAGGGGGGTGAAAATTAACATCTAGCTTTCTCTGCTTCGAAGTGCTACCCTCTGCAAGGAGAACTGTAGTGTAAGAGTGACCTCTATAGGATTTCCTCAGCACTCTATCTAGAGTACCAGGGACAGTCTAAAATCCTACTTCTTTCAAATTTGGTAGGAGTACACTGATGTTCCTGCTTAGTAGCGGCCTGAAATCATTAACTGAATTTGGAGCTTGTAAACACACAATTAGAGTTTTGTTTTTTGTCCCCCCAAAGACATCCATCTGGTTTCTATATAGGAAAGCTGTACTGATACAAAGGAGATTTCAACAAGTACGCAATATACAGCATAAATACCAGTTGTACCAGTTTCTCTCCGTTTATAATAGGTATTTTACTGATATGGAGCATACTTTCTTTTTCTGTAATCATCTTTATAGCTCATTATTGCTTTTCACTAGTGATCTGTTTTGGTTTTTCTTTTTAATACACAAGCAGTCAGAAAGAAGCACAACCAAAGAGCAAAAAAGAAAATCCTACACTGAAAATTATAGAAGGTCGATGGGGAAAAAAAACAAACAAACAGAAAAACCACAAAAAATACAGAATATTAAGACAACTAACTTAGCTTTTGAAATGCTATATAATGCTTTTGTGACAAATAACCATTTAAAAATCTATAGAAAAGTTACCATTTGACTCTATTTTAGCAATTTAAAGTAGACCAGAATGGTTTAAGAACTGGCATTGAAACTTACTTCTCAGTATCTCCATATTAATTTTTTTGACAACGGTATCTACAGATGCTTCCCTTCCCTCCTCCCCAGCCTCTAACTCACCAAATGGTATTGCAAAGTAGACATCCAGTAAGAGCTCATGTGAAGTTGGTGTTCTTGTGCCTTGAATCTCAATTCCATTTTTTATTACTTTGGAATACAGTGTCCACCAGGCACCTGGACCTTCCTAGGAAAAATATTCAGAAAATATGCCTACATGGGATTTAAAGCATTATCCATCAAGTTTCCCGTAATTCAACGTGAATACATTTATGAGACCTCATTCC